CTGCATCCAGAGCTTGGCTGACATCTCCCATGAGTAGCTGTCCCATTCCAAGGAGCATGGACAAGATCCAGCCCAGGGAAGCAGATGTTTTCAATCCCAGAACGGACCTTATCTAGAGCCCAGCCTTACAGCCACCAGAGTCCAGCTCAAGTTTACATTAAGCTGAGATATTTTCCCAGACTCAGTTCCAGGTGGTCACTGAAATCCAGGTCTCCTTTTTACTATGAGATTACTCATGGGATGAGCAATCCATTTGCTGTTTGAAACTAAATAGCCTTTCTCACATGGCATCCCAGATAGCTGGGACAGTCTGAGAAGGGATAATCAAAAAAGAGAACTGAGAATGACCTGATAAAAACAGCCAATTTCAAGAAGTAAGATTCTTTCAATAAAATCAGATGGTTAAGATAAAATTTTCCATTAAAAATATTTCTGGGGCTATAGAAATTTGTAACCAGGTGCATCTGAGCAGGATCCATCTCGGTTAATGTTAGCAGTCAGGAAATGAGGCCTAGCCTAGACAATCCTCCAGGCTCTTTGCTGAGCCAATGGCACAGACATCTCCCCGAGGTAACACAACCCATTCGTCCTGGATAACTTTTGGGGATGAAATGGCTCACCTTGTACAGGCTAAACACACCTCAGGGTGACAGGTGGGGCCACCTGCACAGACCCAGAGAGGAGCAAAGGCATGGTCAAAGCAAGCAGCCAAAGTCTGTGTGAGGAACTCAGACAACACTTCACAATAATCCTCAGATATATTCAAAGACACAGGCTTAACAGAAAAAACAAGATGATGAACCTGGTAAAAATTTTGTCTGCCCCAAAGACAAAGTAAAGCTGATACCACGAAAGGGCAGAGAGAGAACTGCAGCTTAAAGTAAAACCACGTGGATTATCTTAGTCAGAAGCTGCAGCCAGACATATTCAAATGAGCAGTTAAATGCTCAGAAGCCACAGGAATTACCTGTTAGCACTTTTCTGGAAGTTGTGTTGGCCACTCGTAACTAAATGGGCCTGAAGAATTCAGAGTACACGACACACCCCCTTGACCTCACATTTTTTTTTAAATCTATGAAAAAAGGCTGATTTCCATGATTGGAATAGAAAGGCCGAGTGAGAAAAGGTATCCTCTGATAGATGCAGTTTCAATAAAAGCATAAAAAACCACTTAAAAGAACTAAGAGCAAGAGGTATCATAAATAACAGTATTAACAGCATGTGAGTTGTAAGTAAAGATCCAATCAGTGTTTTTTAATACACCCTCTGAATATTATTTATTTAAAAGCGCTGTTCAGTACTTGTTCTACTCCCAGAGTTTTCCAACAGTTTAGAGTGGATGGCATTCTCACTTGGATTGGAAGCCTGAGAGAATATGTGGAAAATCATTAAGTTTTGCAGCAGACCAAAGAAAGAAATCTATGGCTGAACTTAAAAAAAAAATAATAAATGATACTCCCAACAGAAGTGATCCATAATGGATGAGAGTTGAGTAAAAATGACTTAGCTGCTGATCTAGGGGAAAATAAAAACAATAGCTGAAGTGTTTACTCCACACAGCAAAGCAGCTGGAAAGAGATAGATAGGGAAAATAAACTGATTTGGCAAAATTCATTCCCAATCTATACCTGATCAATAAGTGCTTGTGGAAATTGTTGGAATATGAGGCTGCTGGCATTCAGCAAAAGGACATTAATAGACATCTGAGTGGCTGCAATAATTTATTAACAGCATCATTTCAGAACCTCATGACTCGACAGAGGCCGTGGTGTTGGAAGCACCGCCCCGTGGAGGCACTGAGTGTCCACCAGACTTCTAAAGTCTTTTCCAAAAGTGCCCCTTGTCTGAGCTTGACACCCCCTGGGGCTGGCAGGAAGCTGTGGTGACAGGGCACACAGTGGCACTGTGCCTGGGCACCGCCCTGGCCTGATTTATGGGGAAGAAGGAGGAAGGAAGGGCTCCAGGGGCTGGAGTTTCACAGAAGGAGGGACAACAGAGATGCAAAAGTCCTTCTAAAACCAAACAGTCGTTCTGCTTCCAGCTCTCTTGGGAACCTCAAGGCTTCTCAGGCTCTGAACCACAAACAAATTCTCCGTTTCAAGCTGGTCCTTGGCTTTTCCCCTCTCACTACACCTCAAACTGCTGGAAAAGTATCCATGCAATAAAGAGCTGACACAGGGAATGCTGAACTAAGTGGCAAGTTAACCCTCCTGGGCTCTTATCAACACCCCTGAGTCATTTGGGCCAAGAATGAAAGGTGTTGGGGAATGATCACAAGGAAAGGCTTCATCTGAGCTTTTGGGACATCAGTGGGTAGTGGGGTGAATATTTATCTTTCTAAAGAGTAACAAGGAAAAAAAAGTACATTCCCTTTGCAGTTGCCAGTGATAATGGATGCTGTGTGAGCTAAAAACCCAGCAGTTAAAAGCTACATTTATTATCACTCTATCTCACACCAGCAAATTTATGATCCCTTCCAGACCTAAAACATCAAAGCAGAGCAGGAGTCAGAGCCTTTTCAGACTGTTAGAGGGTTTTTTTTCCTTCTTCTTCTTTTCACATAGATTGCTTTATTTATTTTTTAAAAGGAGGTGGGCATTAAAACCAAAATCTGACCTTTGATCCCCTGAGGCAACTCATTACTTACAAGGGCAAATAGGGAGCTGAAAGTTTTTCCTGCATGAAACCGTAAATAATTCTTACATACGTCCACAAATCACTCTAGGTTGGTAAAGTAAATAGTAATTGGTGGGTTTCTCCCTAGAGGCAGGTCTGAAGGGGGTTATAGATTAGAGTTAGGGATTTTTTGCTTGAAAAAAACCACTTTAAAAACCATGTTCCCCTCAGCTCAGTGCTCCAGATGCTCAGGTAATACATGAAGTTTTGGAGGGGTGTGTATGGCAGGGGTGTGGGGAGGGGAAGGGTTTGCTGTTTTTCTTATGTTTAGTAACTTCTCGTGTTGGAATTTAAGAGATTCACAACTTTAAGGGCAAAGGGGAGCATTAAAATAAAAAAAATTAAATGCCACGTAGGCACAACAACCTTTTCTGTGTGTTATCAACAAGGTTTAAAGAAAGAACCTTCTTCACAGCTCCTCCTGCAGCTCCACTGATTAGCTGGAAGGAGCAGCAGACTTGTCTCCCTGCCTTTTTAACATGTAACTACAGTCACACATTATCATCTTTCACTGTTTCATAAATTTTTCCCAAAACATCTGAACTCTACCCAAGTTCAGAGGCCTTTCTGACCACCCCTACTATCGAAACTACTTTATTTAATAACAATCAGACACGAATATCTAAATAAAAGGAAAATATCCACGCTTGTTACTGGAATATAGTTGTTACAGCAGACCAGGGAATTGAGTGAGAAGTACTGCACTGTTATCAACACCAGTGGAAATATTCCCATGCTGGAATTATCAGACCTGCCTGTCATCAAACCAGGATTGCCCAGCAATGCACTGTCACAGTGCAGGGATTTTCTCTGCTGGAAAGTCCTCTAAGAGCTTGCTGAGAGCAATCAAAGAAAAGCCATCAAATGCAGATTAGTCCTGTGCAAAACACAGTAATCCCAGAAAAAGGGACGTGGAACTTTTACACTTTGAAGAGAGAGGTCGGAGCCACGAGGACAGAGAGAAAACCAGTAGGAAACTGGGTGTTTATAAACACAACTGACACGTTTCTACCTGCATGAAATGTCTGCAGCCACAGTTATTTGCAAGGAGAAAACTGGTCCCAAGCCTGGCTCTATTTCCAAGAAAAACAACAGGTCATAAATCTGGATTTAATAATTGAAACAAACGGCCTGACTCCCAGCCAGGCTGAGCCCAACGCAGAGAAAAAGCCTAAAATATTGATTAAGACATGGGATTTTTCTACCTGGCCTCTGACTTCTTTGAAACCTTCAAAGGCCAGTGCTAAAGCCACAGGGAGTTCTATCTTAGACAAGATCATGCTGGAAATTTCTCGTGCTCACCTTCCAGCCTCCCTGGTCCCGGGATCTGAGGCCTTTGGTGCTCCAAGGGACCACCGAGGGCTCGCTGAGGACCCAGCAGATGTGCCAGTGCCAGGGGCAGGAGCTGCACTCCTGCCCTCCTTCAAACCTGCCTCTCCAACTGCATCCCCTACCTCAGACACAACCAGGAGGTGTCAGGAACCCCCCCACTGAAACTCAGAGCAGAGGGAGCACTTGCTGTTCCCACCTCTCTGACCCACAGCTTTCCACGAGGGATTGACATCCTGTGGTGGGGCTGGCAAAGCCATCATCAATGACAGGATCATTGAGGTTGGAAAAGACCCTCTGTGGCCATCAAGTCCAGCACTGCCAAGGTCACCACTAACCCATGTCCCCAAGTGCCACATCAACAGGCCCCCTCAAGGGATGAGGACTCCTGGGCAGCTGTGCCAGGGCTGGGCAACCCTTTCAGTGAAGAAATTTTCCTCAGTATCCAACCCAAACATCCCCTGGCACAGTTTGAGGCTGTTTCCCCTCATCCTGTTCCTTGTTCCCTGGGAGCAGAGCCTGACCCCCCCTGGCTCCCCCTTCCTGTCAGGGGGTTGCAGAGCCAGAAGGTCCCCCCTGAGCCTCCTTTTCTCCAGGCTGAGCCCCCCCAGCTCCCTCAGCTGCTCCCGCTGCTCCAGCCCCTTCCCAGCTCCATTGCTTTTCCCTGGACTCCTGAAGTTGGTCCTGAATTGCTACAGTTCACACACAGAATTCCTAAGGTAAAACAAGCCAAGCATTGGTTTACTTTTAATAACCTGGGTTGAAAAACACCATCCATTCTGAGTGTGCTTCACAAGGAGTTCAGTCATCCCTCCTAAAATAATGACTATCCAGGCCTTTATTTTTTAACTATATAACAATAAAGTGATTTATTTTCAATCTCCTGGTGAATCAGGAAATTGTTGCTATTCCCAGACAGGGAACAGAGACAAAGGAAGATTAAACACCCAAATATCACACTAGAAGCCTTTGGCAGAGTAGGAAACCGAACTCACCCCTCCTTTCTGAAACGTAGCTCAGCTTCTTAGGCATCAGCCCATCACTCCAGCCCTCACGTGATGCAGACACACGTTCACCTTCTGCAGGGCTCCAAAGCACAAAGGCAGCAGCCAGTGAAAGATTCCTGCTGGCCCGGGCTCAGATCCTGTCTGGACTGAGGGAACAGGTTTCTGGTTTCAAAAGGAGCAGAGTTGAAGTTGCTTTCCTTCAGTTGCAACCTTTTTAACAAAACAGAGATTTTTCTCCAGCAAGTAAAGCCATAAATCAGGACATCTCCTGAGGTTCTTTTTTTTTTTTCCCTCCTCTTTTTTTTTTCCTAGTTAGTGTGCCCTCCCTCCCCTTTCCATCCCTCCAGACTTACTTCATAAACATTAGCTTTCAAGCATCTCTTCCCCCAGAGGACGTATCATAAACATCATGTTAAATATTTAGAACAGGAAACCACCTCACTTTTCCAGCTACATAAAAGCTATCTTGGGAGGGTGCATTTTCTGTTCTTATGGCTTTTATATATTTATTTCCTGGTGCAGATCATTCCAATAATCAGCACATTTGCCAGAGATGTTGGACAACAGTGTTAAGAAGTTCCCCAGCACCTGAGCGAAGGAAACTTTGCTACCGGACACTTCAGGGATAGGTGGAGCATCTCCTACTCCATGTGGGACTTCCACAGGCCTTGGATAGGCACTGATGCAACTACAGAGCTGGGAAGAAGGACTCTAATAAACCTTGCAGCACTCCCATCGTCCTCTTTAACTTCCAACTTCCAGCTTGTTTTCCTTAACTCCTCCGAGTGTCCCCAGAAACCACCACGTTAACACACAGCAAAGATATTCAATAACAGCCAGGCACTAAACACCACCGAGCACCATAAACACTGGCAGTTCCAGGCTTGGTTCAAAGCCTGGAAGGAGTCAAAGGTATCTGGCACAAAAGGCTTTTTGACAGCTCTCCTGTGAAGTGCCTCGTGCCCTCACCCTGGCTGGATTTGTTTGTTCAGATCCGAGCCAAACTGTCCAGTCCCAGTTAAAGGTTGTCCCTTCCTCACCTGCAGCATCCTCCCACCCTCTCGCCCCTCTCACACACACGGCAGCACCTCGGGACTTTGGGCAATTCCAAACTCCAGCTCTCTCAAGTACAGCAATCCTCAGAACAACAGGGAATGGCTTCAAACAGAGAGAAAGGAAGTTTAGGTTTGATATTAGGAAAAATTCTTTAGTGTGAGGGTGGGGAGGCCCTGGCACAGGTTGCCCAGAGAAGCTGTGGCTCCCCCATCCCTGGGAGTGTCCAAGGCCAGGTTGGACAGGGCTTGGAGCAACCTGGGCTAGTGGAAGGTGTCCCTGCCCAGGGCAGGAGGTGGGACAAGATGGGCTTTAAAGTCCCTTCCAACCTAAACTGTTCTATGATTCCATGATTCTGTGGCTTCCAGGGCTGTTCGTTCTTCCCATTCCTCCTTCAGAAGGGTGGTGGCAGAGCCTGGGGCTCCTCAGGTGCACACACACCTTGGGCAGGTGCCTGCCCTGTGTGACAGGGCTGCAGTCGTGGCAGAGGTCCCTGGCTGGGAGCTGCCTGTGCTCAGGAAAAGCCTGAGCTCCATCCCTGGCTGTGTAAAACAGCACTTCCCTTTCTTTTCTGAGAGAGTGGGAGAGCCCAGATGGACAGACATCCAGAGGGAACTCAGATAGAGAGCAGGCAGCTGGATGGTGTTGGCCTGGTCTGTTCCCTTGTGGGGCAGGGACTCTGCCACCTTCTAGGGCAGCACTGCCCCCACACACACTGACTGCCCCTGAAGTACTGCTGAGACCCTCACCACACACCCAAACCTTCAGCTACCCAGCTCTTTATACTCTTGGGAGATTCCACAGAACCAACCCAGAGACAAACTCCCACACAGTGTGACCCTGTGGCCGTGCCCACCACATCACCCGGGGTTTTGTCCAGTCTCCCTTTGAAAACTCCCACTGGTACACACAGACTCCTCCAGCAGACAAATTCATACCCAGAAAAATCTCCCCTTTCCACATCTAGTCACCATTCCCAGCTATTCTTGCAGCCTCTTGCTCCATCCACGCTGTGTGCTGCTCATCTGAACCAAACCTACTGGACTCAAAACCCTTCCACAGAAGTTGGTCTCTGTAGACCTTTAACATTAATTTACTTTCTCCTAAGCTTCCAGATTTTGATAAGAGGCTGCCCAAAACGCAGTGCAATAGTCCAAGCAGCCATCTAAAGCGCCAAAGCCACGGAGAAAAGAAAGCAATGATCAGTTCTGCAGCCCCCAAATTACTTTTTTTCTTTCACAGCACATTGCAAGGTCACAGTAATTCATTCTCCACCCTCACCCCCTTCATTCTGCCTGGCTGAAACTCAGTTCAGCTTCAGGGGGAGGCACTGCAAGGGTTTGGCAAACCATAATGTCCTGCCTCCAGTCCTATTCTGAAGATTTAAAAGGTGCAAAGGGCTTGATGTTGGCTTCTCAGATGTGGGCAACCCTCGCCCATTGTACATAGGTGAATCAAATTTTCGGTGATGCAAACTGGAAACGCCTGCCAAGTATGCACGCAGGAGAAAGAAAAACAAAGATCATAAAGATTTATAGGTTGCTTTAAAATGCATTCACCCTAAACCATGAGCTGCTCCAGCAAGCACTACCAACCTGGCTGAAAAGTCGTGCTTCACATGAGGGGCTCGCTCTGCTGGAACGGGAGCTTTTGTGAAGATCGACAGAATTAACGAGCTAAAAACTCCGGGGTATTAGTTCAGTACCTCACAACAACGATAAAATTAAAACTTTTATGCCTCTGATTTATACGTTTCAAATTAAGAAGGATATTTTAGGCTCTCGGGGCGTGTGGGAGCACAGTGGTCCGGTTCTTTATGCTCGTGCACAGCACAGAGTCATATTGGCTGGTTTCTGTGAGGTCCACGACTCTGCTGCTTCAACACAGATCCCTCCAAAAAGAGAAACCCGGCAGTGTAAAATGTCAGTTGTGCGAGGGTCTAGATCTGCTTTGACCAAACTCCAAGCTGAAACAGAGCTCAAAAAAAAAAAATCTCTTTCCAAGAACAAATCCCCTTGCCACAGTCCTATTGCTTCCTGCTTTTAGTTAGGCTAAAAATGAGGAGAAAAGGCAGCACTAAAAGCGTGTCCACTTCCAGTGAGGCAGAAGCGGGATCATGAGTAGAAGTGTGCGAAAATAAAACGGGCAAACATCAAAAAATAACAACAGATCATATTTTGTGATCAGTTTGTTTCGGGCAGGAAGGCTGAGGCTGGTTCTAATTTGAATCTAACCAGTTGGCCAGGCCCTACCTTATATATTATCTTTGGAATGTGAGTCATTTTGTTGGCTTAGTTATTTCTTCTTCTGTAACATGGCACTCCTGACTGCAGCGGTATGTGGGAGCTATTTTTATTGGGTAAGTAGTGAAAGGAAGTGATGGATAGAGCTGGTTGGGAACATTTCAACAAAACATTTTTTCAGTAGAATTTCCTAGTTGCTCCGGTGTGAAGTTCTTCACGCTGAAAGAGCCGGTTCCAGGGAATTTTTTTAATCTGAAAACGACACCGTAAAAAAAATTTTCCAAATAGCACATTTCGGTGCTTTTAAACAAAAGTGTTCGACTGACTCGCCCAAAATTAGTTGATTTTGAAGTTAAAAGAGAAAAATTAAGCTGACATGTCACTGGAGAAAGACCAGCCAGGCCTGATGAAGGAGCCATCCCAAGCATGCAAAGCCAACTCTGTCCCCTGCACAAGAATGCACTTGATCATTTTCCCCTTTAGATTTTGAGCTCTTGAAAATTTTCAAGGCTTTGGCTTTTCATCTCCCTTCAGAACAGTAGCTCCTTTTTCACGGCCCCTCCAAGAATTTCAGGAGCATCAAAACCTTCCTCTGTTTTGTTTTTTTGGTAGTTTTTTTTTTTTTTTTGGCAGAACAAGCAGCACAGTGTGTGAGCAAGGCCTTGGGAAGGCAGAATCCTCGAACCACCTCCCGATCGGGGTCATCCTGGTACTGCAGCGCGCTGTGGTGCGGTCAGATGGAGATGGTAAACCACATGCTGGAAACCTCCCAGTCCCAGGTGCCCACAAAAGCCAAAAATTAAAAGGGTGTATCCTCAATGGATGACCAGCCACTCCTGAGACCCTGCCTTTCCCTGTGGGCTTTTCGTAACAGCTTTCAAAAAGCAGGGCCAGCTACAACTTAAGCAAAGCTGGCCAGTGATCTAGGAAACTCTTCAATTATAGATGAGCACCAATAAACAGCCAGTGATTTGCTGGAAATTATGAAGTATAAATAATTGAGAAGCAGGGAGTTGGCCCAGAGGTACCCTTCTCTCTTGCTGATTCGTCTTAATGCATTTCCTTGATGCAGCTCCCTGCTGTGTTCCTAAGGAAGGCTGTGGGAGCAGCAGGATAATGGCCCTGGAAGAATATGCTGACCTGCTTGTGCAGAGTTGGAAATATCTGACCATCTCCCAGGCTGAAAGGTGCAGCTGAGGAAAGGGGGTTAACCCAGCGAACCACATCGTCACCCCACTTCCCGCATGGAAATCAGGAATTCCACCTGAGTACACAGGGATCCTCCAGTCCCAGAGGACAATGGTTTGACAGCAGTTGGTGTGGAAGGACTTCAGTCTGTATTTGCTTCTTCACGGGGTCCTTAAAGAGGAGATTTGATCAGTGCAGGGCAGGAAGCTGCCTGAGGATGCTCAGGGCTGTCCTGGGAGAGGAGGGAGTCAACTGCGGACATCCCGGTCTTCCAGCCTGGATGGCTCTGGTCCACAATGGTTTTTCAAATATAGCCCCAAATTAGGGCAAGCAAGCCTTTCCTGGGGTCACAACTCTTGGGCAGGGCATGGGACAAACCCAAAATGCCAACCCTGTAGCTCAGCAGGACCCCAAGACAGCAGCACTGCAGAGAAATTCCCCCCCAGGGGAACGGGGCTTCAGCCAGAACTTCACCCTTAATGCAAAGGGAAAAAGTCCTTTGGGAAAACAGGCCAAAATATTCACCTTTGAGACATTTCTGTGGAGTTTGTCAGAGAGGAAGTCGTATTAAGAGAGGATAATTTCCTTCTGTGCTGCTGGGTCAGAGATAAAGAAAAAAGCCAAGTGGATGTACAGCAAGGCTCTCAAAGGGGCCCATAAAG